CACGCGACAAGTATCGCCGCAATAAAAAAAGCGTAGTTTCCAGGCTTTGTGGGCTGGTCAGTGCTAGTCCTCACGTAATCGTAATAATTCGGTGGGCCTTCGTGTGCACAGATACATACATATGTGTGTATGCACGTTTATGTCTGGATCCATACATGTACGTATATACACACGCCAGTGTCGATGGTAATGCTCACGTATTTGTTTACGTTATAAAACTGATCGGTGTCCCGAGTAAGCAACTTTTCAATGCTCACGGAGTCACAAGCACGCATATGAGCCTTGTGGGACATCGGGAAACGGAGAGTTGTTAAACAATTTTCGGAGATTGGCGCATGCTCGAGGGCCCGCCCAGAAACGAGGCGCCGTGATCAGCAGGCATTCTGGGAAAGTTTGGATGTGTTCTTCGGTCTATTATTGGAGGTCTTTCTTGGGGCCATGTTGCAGGCCAACGGTTCAAAGGTGTCCTTGGAAAACAGCCTTCTGCCGGAGGCTGACTAAACGCGCTCTCGGGCGTTCTTGGATGAGTCTTCGGTGCCTTCGGGGCCGTCTTAGGGCCGTCATAAGGCCCTCCGGGGCCTTTCTCTCCGCCTACCTCGGGGCCATCTAGAGGCTTCAGAAGGCCATGCGGACGAAAGGGCGAGAGAACAACGCGCGTTGTGTTTCTCTGGGCGGCTTCTTCGGTGAGCAGTTGTGCTGAGTGGGCGTCCGCCGACATGCGCAAGCGCTGCGTTGCGAAAGCGAACCAACCGCTATGGTCTGGAAGTCGAGTGAGCTGTCAGCGCGCACTTCGTGAAGTTCGGGTGACTTGCGTCGCCCGTGCTTGCGCCTGCATGGCTGGCTCTGCGATGCGAGCGTGCAAAGACCGCCGCGTTGGATTAAGAGTGAGAGTGTTCCCCTAACGCGCGGACTCCTGATGTTTAGTGTGACGTGCGGACTGTGCGAGTCTTCCATGTGCGCGCGCCAGTGCGGGCGCGGACGACGCGCGTCGCCCGCGCGTTTGCACGCTGCGTGCCCGGCTTGGCGTTTTGCAAATCAGGACTGACATGTTTGCTTGGGGGCCCGATTGGGCCTTCAGCGCGTCCCGCGCGATTTTCAAGAAGCCCGCGTCGCCCCGACGGGCGGCGCGCGCGTTTGCGCGATGAGCTGCTTTCTCGCCTCGGTCTTCAAATCCCCACAAGTCTAGTTTCTCCTCCTCCTCCTCCTCCTCCTCCTCCTCCAACTCCTCCTCCTCCATCTTCTCATCCTTCTCCTCCTCCTCCTCCTCCTCCTCCTATCTCCTATTTCCTTCCTCCTCCTCCTCCTCCTCCTCCTCCTCCTCCTCCTCCTCCTCCTCCTCTCTGGCGTCGCCGAGGGTGTCCCTGGCCCAAGGTCGGATGTCGGGGAAGGCCCAGATGGCTCCCGCAGTGCCCCTCGCGAGGGCCAGAGGGCCGTTCGGCGCCGCGGGCGGGCAGCCAGTGTGCCTCACGGCACTCGCGCGGGGGGCCGTTTGGGCATCGTTTTTTCCCAACCATCTTGTGGTGTTGGGTCCTCGTTTTGAAGAGACAGCGCCCGCGTCCTCACTCCTCTCCTCCTCCCTCCTCCCACCATCATCATCATCGTCATCATCATCATCGTCATCATCAACATCACCATGATATTCGGCGTCATCATCAGCATCACCCTCCGCATGCCTCTATTTCGGCACACCCCTCACACGGTTCGTTGTCCCGTAGGGAGCTCCACCGAAGCCCCCAGTGGCAGGGTTCGCATGGCGGCCCCGCCCCATTTTGGCGCACCCCTCACACGGTTCGTGGCGCCATAGGGAGCTCCACCGAAGGCCCCAGTGGCAGGGTTCGCATGGCGGCCCCGCCCCATTTTGGTGCACCCCTCACACGGCTCGTGGCCCCATAGGGAGCTCCACCGAAGGCCCCAGTTGCAGGGTTCGCATGGCGGCCCCGCCCCATTTTGGCGCACCCCTCACACGGTTCGTGGCCCCATAGGGAGCTCCACCGAAGGCCCCAGTGGCAGGGTTCGCATGGCGGCCCCGCCCCATTTTGGCGCACCCCTCACACGGTTCGTGGCCCCGCAGGGACATAGGGAGCTCCACCGAAGGCCTCAGTGGCAGGGTTCGCATGGCGGCACCGCCCCAGTGTGGCGCACCCCTCAGGCGGTTCGTGGCCGCATTGGGAATTCCTTTTGCTTCGTCCCACCTGCCCTGCGGTATTCACGTTTGCATATGGTTGGGTCCTTCGCCAGGATATTTTTTTTCCTCAGCCTCCTCCTCCTCCTCCTCCTCCCCCTCCTCCCCTCCTCCTCCTCCTCCTCCTTCTCCTCCTCCTCCTCCTCCTTCTCCTCCTCCTCCTCCTCCTCCTCCTCCTCCTCCACTGGAGGCTTGGCGGAAGCCCCGCGGGCCTGCCAGGCGCCCGCGGTGCCTCTTTGGAGCGGCCCAGGAGGGGGGGCGCGAGGGGCGCCCTGTCGGGCAGACGGTGTGTCGCTGCGTGTCCTGTCCGCACGCACGCGTGCACTATCGGCGTCGCCCGGACACTCTTATCCTATGTGTGTTGGGCGCCGCCTAATGGGGGGGTCATAAATGGGGGGGTGGCGAGGGTGGTCCGAAAAGGTACCCAAACGGTACCTAAACGAGTCCCCTGGGGCTCTGGAGGGGCCCGAAAGGGGCACGAAAGGGGACCTTTTCTGATCCCCCTGTTTATGACCCCCCCATTAAGTCCCGCCCGAATGTGCGTAGCCCCCCCGGGGGCGACGCGCGCACCGAGAAGTCTTGTAGTATATGCGTCGTGGCTGGCGCTGTCTGGCCACACCGCTCGGGGAACGATCTACTACAAGATGGGTATACTATATGTTCGGGTCGGACGCGCGCCTCCAAGGAGATCACCTAGTATTAGTATGTCTCTGTGCGTCCCACACTAGCTGCACTGCGCACGTAACCCATTGACCTCGCGCGCAAGCTGAGCGAACTTTATGAGATAGGGTCATCCTCTTCCTTCCCGTTCTTCTTCAGAGGAGCGAGCGATACCGATGCCGCTGCTCGAAAGTCTGATCAGAAAGCAGCCCTGGAGAGGTCCATAGGGATAGCGGTGCAGGTATCTATGTGATCCCCTACCTCTCCCTCTCTTCATTTCCCAGGACACCCCCTGAGATCTTGGCGTCACAGTTTGTTCGCATCGCGCGATGTTGTTTTGTTTTCGGGGGTCATCACTTTTCGATCTGGTTAGAAAAGTGCCGCGGAGAGATTGTATTTGGGGCTCCAGTCGCATGTTTCGCAATGTTGTCATTTTTCGCAACGTCGGATGGGTTTCAGGGGGTCTTTGGTGAATCACTCTTGCTCATTATCCCACTCGTCCTCCTCCTCCCTCTCTTGTTCTTCTTCTTCTTCCATGCCAAAGGATCACGGGATACCGATACAACTGCTCATCCTGGAGAGCTTTCGTGGGTATCGATTTGATCCCCTACCTCCTCCCCATCCTCATCTTCTTCCTACACCTCCTCATTGCCCGAACCCCTCGCAATCGTGCATGGGGTCGTTTAGGGATTGTTCTACCTCATGTTCCAGACCCCCTCTCGTCGTGAAGTAGATAATACGGGAGGTTGTTTACAGTTTTTGGCTTCCCGGGACCCTCGCTGCTTGTCCTGGGGAAGTGGTTTAGACCTCCATGGGTCCACATCGTGAAAACAAGTCAAGACGTCGGGGATGTGGGTTTGTGTTGCGTTGATTTTTCGCAATGGGGGCGAATCGTCTGAGGACGTCGAACGGGGGAAACACTTCGCTCGACGCGCGTGTGTGAAAAAAGAAGTGCCCACTTTAATCACCGCGGCAGGCGGGGCGAAGTGATGCTGCTCCTTCTGCCCCCCCCTCCTCCCTCTTCCCCTTCCACCACGAGGGGTGCCACCTTCAGTGAGGGTGTCCCCGAGCCTATTACGTATAGTGGATGTTTTCAGCGGGGAGGGGGGGGGGGGGGCACACCACAAGGAGCGCATACCCCCCTGGCCCCTCGCGCTGATGATGGTGGTGTTGCTTTTCCTGGTGCCGTCTCATCCGTTTATCTCATGGCGCTGTGCTCTCCTCTCCCATCTGTTTCCTTATAACTAGCTCCTCCATGCCACACTCCCAGACGTGCCAGTATGGCGGACTGGGCGTGTCGCTTGAGACCTCCTCAGCACTTGTGACCTTTAAGCTTGAAATCTGCGACGGCTTCAGAGATGGATGGCGGTTGATTTTTAGCATGTGGTTGTGGCCTTAGCGCCGCGCAGATTCGTCTGACAACTTTGCAACAGTTTGAAGGATGGATGGCGGCTGGTTTTCAACTTGCCACTGTCGCATGTTCGGCAATTCGGGGAGGAATTTGCAGCACATGTTCAATAGTGTGCAGCAGTTTCAGCAACTTCGGGGATGGAGTGCGGCTCCCTTTTAAACTGTGGTTATCGCTGTAGCGCCGCGAACATATGTGTTAAACGTTTGCAACAGTTCCAAGGGTTCGTATGGCTGACATCCCAGGAACGGTGGTCTGGTACCATATAGGATTGCCAGGACGCAACAATCACGTTTATTTGCGGTGTTGAAGGCCTTCCCCGCGACAGGCTTGTCAACCTGAAGAACCGTTGTTTGTCGATCCTGTTGCCTGGAAAGCGCCCCAGAGAGGGGCCGAAGACTGTCAAAAACCTTCCGCCGTGATTGTTGCCACGACTCGAGGAGCTCTGGCCCCCCTTCCCTCCCTCTGGGGGTTGCCATAGGCTGGCCGACTGCTCTGAGAGATTGTGGGCGTCCCAGATGGGTCGGAGCAGATGGGGTCGGAGGATCGCGCCGATGCATCGCCGACGTCGCGGAGGCATCGCCGATGCATCGCCGATGCACCCGCGATGCGGCGCGATCCTCCGACCCCATCTGCTCCGACACCGTCTGAGGAGGAGGAGGAGGAGGAGGAGGAGGAGGAGGAGGAGGGAGGCCTCCAGAGGTGGAGTGGCCCCTGCCGGCGTGGGGCGGCGGCCACGACGAGGCCGCCATGGAGGCGGCGGACGGCGGCCTGCTGGTCTCCGGCGTGGTCGTGGAGGCCACCAGCGGCGCGATGTCTTAAGCCCCGCCGAACTTCCGCGGTGCGGACTTTCTCGCGTTTCTCCTCCGCCTCCTCCTCCTCCTCCTCCTCCTCCTCCTCCTCCCCAGTTCAGCGGTGCGGACTTGTTTTTTTGTTAATCCTCTGGAGCACGCTTTCCCCAGTTAGGCTTGCCTGGCGGGTTCTTACCCGGTTCCAGGTTGGTGCCTATTGATGTCACGTTGCCTGTTCCTCGGAGGTTCCCCGGGTTCCTCGGGTTCCCTGGGTTTCCCGCCCCCGGTGCATCATATTCTTACGTTGCCCGGTCCTCGGGTTCCCCGTGTTCCTTGGGTTCCCCGCCACCGGTGCCTCGTATTGTTACGTTGCGTTGCCCGTTCCTCCGAGGTTTCTCGGGTTCCCTGGGTTCCTCGGGTTCCCCGCCCTGGTTGTTGGTTTCGTTCTCCAGCAATGCCAAGCAAAGCCGTGCAACGTCAAGCAACGCCGAGCAAATCAAAGCAGCGCAAATCAACGTCAAGAAATGCCAAGCAACGTCAAGCAATCCAGAGCAACGCCAAGCAATGCCAAGCAATACCAAGGAATGCCAAGCAATTCCAAGCAACGCCAAGCAATGCCAAGCCGTGCCAAGCAACGCCACGCAATGCCAAGCAACGCCAAGCAACGCCAATCAATGCCAAGCAGCGCCGAGCAATGCAAAGCATTTCTGAGTGATGCCACGCAGCGCCAAGCAATGGCAAGCGATGCAACGCGATGCCAATCAACGCCAAGCAACGCCAAGCAATGCCAGTGAATGCCAAGCAATTCCAAGACGCCAAGCAATGCCAAGCCGTGCAAAGCAACGCCAAGCAATGCCAAGCAACGCCAAGCAATGCCAAGCAACGCCGAGCAGTGCGAAGCAACTGTGAGTAATGCCACGCAGCGCCAAGCAGCGCCAAGCAAGGGCAAGCGATGCAAAGCAATGCCAAGCAGCGCCAAGCAATTCCAAACAATGGCGATATTGGGCGTGACCAGAGAGGGGGGCGGTCATGTCGCGATTCGTGCTGGCGCCGTCTGGGACTACGGCGCCCTCGCAAGTCGAGACGTCACTAGGGTGGGGGGGAGGGGGGGTGGCGGGGCTGGTCACGGTGACTAGGGTGGGGGGGGAGGGGGGCGGGGGACGGGGTTGGTCACGGGCGCTACTGCGAATGCTTAGGATCTGGCCTGTGGAGTTTGTTATTCCATCTGTGGGCCTGCAACGGTCGCTGTTTGGGTCCCCCCCGCATAATGGTAAGGATCGTACGTAGAGGCCCGGGGAGGGGGGTCTGGACTTGCCCCCCACATGTTGGTGCTCGCGCGCGTATTCTAATGATCACAGCGCGCACACACACACACACCCTTATGTGCCCCACTCCGCTCAAGCATGACCGTTCCCCTGGGCCCCCAACCCCCTCCGGGCAACGACCGTTACGGGAAATAGCATAACAAACATTTCGCGATTGGGTCGGGATTTTTTGCTTGGCGTGTCGCGTCTACGGCCCTGGCGGCATGCCCTGCCTTGCCAGCGGATAGCGTGTTGCTTCGCTCCGCGGGACGGGAGGTTCGGAAAGGCTCGGGACGTTGACGCTTGGGAGTTGGGGCGTGGCGGGCCAGAACCAGCGGAGTGACACGCTACACAAGATATGAAAGAGCGTGTTCTACCGCTGCTGGCGGAAAACCGGGGGGGGTCACTACCGGTTCGAACCCCTCCCCCCCCCCCCCTCCGGAAAACCGGGGGGGGTCACTACCGGTTCGAACCCCTCCCCCCCCCCCCCCCAGCTCATCATGAAAAGGGGGGGGGGTCACTACCGGTTCGAACCCCCCCCCCCCTCGAAAACCGAGTGGGGGTGCGGACAGTGGTGGGGACGGTGTTGGTGGGGACAGTGGTGAGGGGACAGCGGGACAGTGGTGGGGACAGTGGGGGACAGTGGGACAGTGTGGGGACGGTAGTGGTGGGGACAGTGGTGGGGACAATGGTGGGAACAGGGGGGACAGTGGACAGTGGTGGGAACGGTGGTGGTGGGGACAGTGGTGTGGGGACAGTGGGAATGAGGTGGAAACACTGGGACAGTGGAGGGTACAATGGTGGTGGAGACACTGGTAAAGGCGGTGGCGAGGACGGCGGTGGGACAATGGGACAGAGGTACAGTGGGGACAGTGGTGGGGACAGTGGGGACAGTGGTGGAAACAGTGGGACAGCTCAGTGGGACAGCGGAGGAGTCAGTGGGACAGTGGGGACAATGGGGATAGGCAGTGGTTGGGTCCGTGGAGACAGTGGGGAGAGTGGAACCGTGGTGGGAACAGTTGTGGGAACAGTGGGGACAGTGCGACAGTGGTGGGGGCATTGGTGGGGACAATAGGGACGGTGGTGGAACCAGTGGGGACAGTGGTGGTGAGGACAGTGGTGCTGGGAACAACAGTGGGGGATGTGATGCGAGCGGTGGTAGGGACCGGGAGTCGTTTGCTGGCGGTGCGTGGGGGGGGGGGGGGGTCGAACCGGTAGTGACCCCCCTCCGGTTTTCGAGGGGGGGGGGGTTCCAACCGGTGTGACCCCCCCCGGTTTTCGGATCCGGGGGGGGAGGGGGGGGGGGGGAGGGTTCGAACCGGTAGTGACCCCCCCCGGTTTCGAGGGGAGGGGGGGGGGGGGGGGGAGGGTTTGGGGAGGGAGGGGGGGGGTTTTTTGGGGGGAGGGGTGGGGGGGGGAGGGTGGAGGGGGGGGGGATTTTCGGAGGGGGGGGGGGATACCCCCGGGCTCCGGAGGAAAAGGTTGGCAATTTTCCACAGTAAAGCGGCGGTGGATCACGCTCTCTCCAAGATATGTTGACCGTATACTCGATGAAAACAAAGAGGCAAAACCAAGTGAGAGTTGTTTCAACTCTCGAAAAGCAATAAGCACAATGGTTTTGGACCTGTGCTTCTTGGAGCGCTCTTGAGTGCCCTCGTGGGCCGTCTTCGTGGCGTCCTGGCCGGTCTTGAGGCCATCTTGGGCAGTCGTGCGAACCTCTGTGTTATGCGTGCGTTGCACGTGTAACTAATGTGTGTTATGTGTGTGTGGTGTGTGTGTTGTGTGTGGTGCGTGTGGTCAGTGCGTATTATGTGTGTCTGTGTTTACGTCGGTGCTCGAGTTTGGGATGCTGTCTCATACAAAACGCATGTTTCCTGAGTGTCGTGTTCAACAGGTCCTTGATTGTTGGAGGATGTCACATGCGAAACTGCAGCTGTCCGAAAAGTGTGCTGTGCTCAACATCATTGGAAGCCCTTGTGTTGTTCCCAACCATCCTGTGGTGTTGGGTCTTCGCTTTGAAGGGATACCCTGTCCTCCTCGTCCCCCCCTTCTCGCCTCCTCCTCCTCCTTCATCCTCGCCCCCTCCTCCTCCTCCTCCTCGTCCCCCTCCTTGCCCTTTCCTCGCCGTCTCCTCCTCGTCCCCCTCCTCCTCGCCCCCTCGTCTTTCCTCCCCTTCCTCATTCCTCCTCCTCGTCCCCATCCCCCCTCCTCCCCGGCGTGCCTCTGCCCTCCTCACCAGTCGACTATTTCGGCACAGCCCTCACACGCTTCGTGGCCCCACAGGGAGCTCCACCGAAGCACCCAATGGCTGCATTCACATGCGCCCGCCGCGCCCATGTCGGCACACCCCTCACACATTTCGTGGCCACAGTGAGTTCCACCGAAGGCCCCAGTGGCTGCGTTCGCGTGCGCCCGCCGCGCCCATTTCGGCACAGCCCTCACACGCTTCGTGGCCCCACAGGGAGCTCCACCGAAGGTCCTGGTGGCTGCGTTCGCGTCCGCCCGCCGCACCCATTTCGGCACACACCACACATTTTGTGGCCCCACAGGGAGCTCCACCGAAGGCCCCAGTGGCTGCATTCACATGCGCCCGCCGCGCCCACTTCGGCACCGCCCTCACACGTTCTCGTGGCCACACAGAGAACTCCATCGAAGGCCCCTGTGGCTGCGTTCGCATGCGCCCGCCGCGCCCCTTTCGGCACAGTCATCACACACTTTGTGGCCCGGCAGGGATTCCACCGAAGGCCCGAGTGGATGCGTTCAGATGCGCCCGCCGCGCCCATTTCGGAACATCCCTCGCACGTTTCGTGGCCCCACAGGGAGTTCCACCGACGGCCCCAGTGGCTGCGTTCGCATGCGCCCGCCGCGCCCATTTCGGCACAGCCCTCACACGTTTCGTGGCCCCACGGGGAGCTCCACCGAAGGCCCCAGTGGCTGCATTCACATGCGCCCGCCGCGCCCATGTCGGCACACCCCTCACACATTTCGTGGCCCCACAGGGAGCTCCACCGAAGGCCCCAGTGGCTGCGTTCGAATGCGACCGCCGCACACATTTCGGCACAGCCTTCACGCTCTTCGTGTCCCACAGGGAGCTCCACCGAAGGCCATGGTGGTTTCGTTCGCGTCCGCCCGCCGCACCCAGTTCGCCACACCCCTCAATCATTTCGTGGCCCCAGTGGCTGCGTTCACATGCGCCCGCTGCGCCCCCTTCGGCACAGCCCTCACACGATTCGTGGCCCCACAGGGAGCTCCACCGAAGGCCCCTGTTGCTGCATTCACATGTGCCCGCCGCACCCATTCCGGCGCAACCCTCCCACATTTCGTGGCCCCACAGGGAGCTCCACCGAAGCACCCAATGGCTGCATTCAGATGCTCCCGCCGCGCCCATTTCGGCACACCCCTCACACATTTCGTTGCCCCACATGGTGCTCCACCGAAGGCCCCAGTGGTTGCATTCACATGCGCCCGCCGCACCCATTCCGGCACAGCCCTCACACGCTCTGTGGCCCCCAGGGAGCTCCACCGAAGGCCCCAGTGGCTGCGTTCGCGCCCGCCCGCCGGCGCCCATTTCGGCGCACCGCTCACGCATCTCGTGGCCCCCAGGGATCCCCACCGAAGGCCCCAGTGGCTCTATGCGTCCGCCGCGCCTACTTCGGCACACTCCTCAGACATATCGTGGCCACACATGGAGCTCCTCCGACGG